ACTTTGTGTAAAGAACACAGCCTTTTTTCCCTGTCCCACATAGAAAACACAAAGAGACAGTAGAAGAGAAATTACAGAAAGGCCAAGAACAATCATGGAGAAAGCACATGTTCGGAGAGGCTGAATTCCTTGTAGTTTTCACCTCAATCGGGTGATTTTGTCAGGCAGACTCCCTTGGAGTTGGTGTGGCACCCAGGTATTCCTCATTCTGTTGTTCTTAGATGCTGTTGAATCGACTTGTAACAACTCACCAACCAACAACTTGGAACCTAGCTTTTTATTGTGCCATCCTCATGATATATCAGTCCGTCTTCTGCTAGTGGATCTTTCTCCCTTTTGCTGACTCTCTACTTTTCCCTGCAGGATGCCCCCTTTTTAGGTAGAAGTGGACTTTTACCAGATCATTTTAGAGAGACTGACTTTCTTGTGATTTTTAAAATATAATTCTGTAGGTGCTTTTGGTAATGTGTTTTCAAGTGATTCGATGTAAAAGTATCCTGCTGCAGTTGTGCTCTGAGTGAAAGTTTACAGAACAATTGATTTTCCATCCAATCAAACACATTTTGTTTTATGGTGTTATCGCCTCCACATTGTGGTCACACTTTTCTGCTTCTCTCTGTGATTCCCATTTTTATCTATCTTTCCATCCTATTCCTTTCTGCCTTTTGTACTCTTCCTTGAGGAAGTACTGTTTGCTCTTTCATGATTGGTTGATTCTAGAGTGAGTACCTCCACGTGTTTTTGTTCCCTTTAAGACATGACTGTTATTTGGCTGGGTGGTTTGGCCATAGAATTGAGTTACAGAATTAGAGAGTTACTAAAGTTTCTGTCTGTCTCTTAGGTCATCAAGCATTGTCACTTGTGTGATTAAGAATTTATTCCACATTTGAATGCTGCTTATACTTATAATTCTTATAACTTCTCCTAGACTTATATATATTTATTAGAAACCCAACTATATAATTTTAAAAGGCTGGTTAGATTTCTTTCAAAACAAACTAATGCATGTTCTCTCTTTTTTAAAAAAGAAAATACAAAAGATCTATCTACCTACCTATCTATCTATCTATCTATCTATCTATCTATCTATCTATCTATCTATCTAAACATTTAGTTAAAAGTATTTCCACAAACTGTGTTCCTCCCTCTGTATCGTTAGTTATGGTTAATTAAATGTCTTTCCAGACCTTTTTCTGAGCACATATGAATGATCACTGTTTCTAGATGACTTCCATACCATCTATCATTTGACTAGCATTTATAGTACCACTCGATAATTTACAACTTCTTTATATCATTATATTCTACTTAGTTTTTATTTGCATATATTTTTTCTTTAATATTTCTTGATAAATTTGAAAATGTCCAGTATTTTTCAGTTAGATGGGTAACTCCCTAAGGTGGCTGTTGTATTTTTTGGAGGTCATTACCAGTCTGTCTGAGGACATTGAAGCCTTCTGTGCATTTGACTGGGTGGGTCGTTTCAGTACAGATGGGATTGTTTCAGGCTCATTATTGTTTGGTCATATGTTTCTAAGAATTATATACTGTGACTTTTCAAGAAAAACACCTGGTAGAATGTCCAATAAACTGATCATTCAATTCAGTGTTTGATGTGGTATTATTCTGTTTGGAGGAAGTTTAGCTGTGGTTAAAAATTATTTTAAAAAAGAATAAAATGTTTTAAAATTTACTTTTAGTTGCTGACAAAATTTTGAAAAAGAAAGACTATCCTCTTTATATCAATGAAAAATGCTTTACAGTTACTGTTTCTCCATACGTAGAAAAACACTTGGAAAAATACCAGGTAAAATCATCTCTTTTATTTTGTGGTTGGTTTTTTTGTGGTGGTGTTTTTGGGTTTTGTGTTTTGTTTTTGTTTTTGTTTTTTTTTTACATTTTATTATTTTTTGTGTGTGTACAATCAAATTTGATCTGATTGGTATAGGAGGAGATTGCCCCGCCTTCTCCAGCAGAGCATCTGGTGGATTCGAATTGGTTACCTCTGGGATTATAGTGCAGCTTCTTGCCACTAGACCACCAGAGTTCACCATCTCTTTTATTTTGGGAACTCATTGCCCAACTCTTTAAAACAAACTCCCTTAAAAAAAAACACCCAACAAAACAAATCCTTATGAATGTATTGTTATTTGATTCTTACCAGTGAGGGTTGTACAAATTTCACTTCTGCTTGATATGAAATGAGTTTGTTACTTGAAAGAATATCTTAATGCAAAAACCTTCTTTAATTGTCAAACCATTTTTTAACTAAAATGATTCCATTTTCTATGCGTATACATACCTACCTTGTTGTTGTTGTTGTTATGTGTCTGCTATGATTAGAAAGAATTCTATTTTAGCCTTTGTTTTGAGAGACAGGAAATCTCAAGAAGATACCAAATGGGAGAATGTCACTTCCAGTTCTGAGCTCTAGAAAGAGTACTCTGATGTCACTATACAGATTAGGAACACAGCACTGGGATTCAATGCATTGACCATGTGAATGTTGGAGGGGAAAAGCGAGTCAAGTATGGATTTTAGCTTTGGGTCTGGTGCACTAGATAAGTGATGGTGCCATTTAATCACTCAGAAAGTGTAGAAAAAGGAACAGCCTTGGGATGAAGACAGCTCATTTGTTTATTAATTTAAATGAATAATTGTAAATGTAAATGTAAAGTTTTTGTAATAGAAAGTTCTTGACACTTTCTCCCTTTTTTCCACCTTAGGTATTTTCGGGAATATCAATGAAGACTGTGCTCCTGACTGGAATGGAGGATGTTCAGGTGGATGAAGAAACTGTAACAGATTCAATTTACATTCATTTCCAACGGGTGAAGAATGGTGGTGGGGAAGTGGATGTTGTAAAATGTTGCCTAAGTCAACCTCAAATAGCATATTTTGAAGACGAGACTTCTGGACTTCTGAAAACAAAAGCTTCTGATTAAAAAAAAAAAGAGTACCCTTTTTCTTAAAAAAAAAGGAAATATTTTAATTCTTTAGTGTGCATTTCTTTTGGGGTACAAAATTTATTCTTCTAATTTTAATTTCTTCTTTTTTTAAATCATCCTGTGTATATTATAATAAAGAAGTGAGCTGTATGAAAACAGTTTTGCTAATAAATTATGTGGATTGGTGCTCCATCTGCTGAAAACAACTTTAATTGACCTCGACGCCCCCCCTGCCTGCATTAGTTTAATCTTTTGTGGCCGTGGGGGCCAGTTCTCTTTTGGCCCCACGACAAACAATATGCAGATTTAACTCTTTGTTAACTTTTTTCCAAAACAAATGCAATTACAGTCAGCATTTTGTCATTTCTGTAGAACTTAATGAAGCTTAATTTAGGAGAGCTCTGGTGGTGTGGTCTGTAGGGATTGTTCTGCTATCCCAAAGATCACACCTCACTGGCAGTTTGAAGGCTCAGTGAGAGAAAGATGACCAGTCTCCTCCTATGTCATTTACAGCTTTGGAAACTGAAGGGAGTAGGTACTCCAAGATCGTAAATAGATTCTTTGTAAAAGGGGAAAAAAGGCTAATATTCACAAGTTCTATATGGAGCAGGTAGGTATCAGAGGACACAAGATACATGGTAAAACAGAAATACAGAAATTGATTGTTGTCAAGTAAAAACTGATTCTTAACTAACCCTTCATTGGATTTTCAAGGCTGAAATTATCTGGGAAGAGTTTGCCCATCTTTTTCTTGTGAAGCCATTGATGGAGTTGAAACTCCAGGGATGCTTGCCCTTTGGGTTAGCAGTGCAATTCCCTATAAGTTGTTGGTGAGGGACTCAGGACACTTCACGTTTAGACAATGCATGAAGTAAATGCAATCGTTTCTTTTGCTGTTTTGTTGTTGTTAAGTGCCGTTGAGTTGACCAAGAATCATAGCAACCCATTGAAAAATGGATCTGAGCCCTGGTTTTGAATTGAATTAAGATTTTTTTTTCCAGCTTTTTTTGGTCACAAGTGTTACTGATTAAAAAATAAAGGAGGCAAAGTTCAGAATTTCTAATCTGAATAAAGAATTAGGTTTGTCCAGTGAACACCAGAGGCGTCACTTTAATCATCAGGAGTATAATAAAATCACTGAGATTAAATAATGTGGAATCCTGTAAATAATTCTGTAGCAAAGGTATTGAACGTACCATGGACTACCAGGAGAACTAACTGGTCTGTCCTACAGAGGGTGAAACAAAGTTGTTCCTTGGAGACAAGGATTTTGGGACTCCATCTCACATACTTTGGATATGTACCCAGGAGAGAAGAGTCTTTGGAGAAGGATATCATTCTTGGAAAGGTCAAGGGATAGCACAGGAAAGGAAGACACTTGATGTGATGGATTGACACAATAACTGGGGTATGAAGGTAGTTGTGTCAAAGACAATGAGATTGGCTCAGAATAGAGCAGGGTTCAAAGCTATTGTGAATAGGGTCACCATGAGTCATAGTTGACTTGATGACACACAACAACAACAATAACAACAACAACATTGATACTTAACTATATACTACATCTTGACTTTGCCAAATTACAATCTCAGCGATTTTCCACTGTGGTTTTGTTGCTTGCCATTGAGTCAGAACTAACCCACAGCTGACCCTCCAGGGGTTTTTCAGAGATAGTAAATTGCATAGGAGGAGATTATATGTCCTTCTCCAGGGGAGTGGCTGGTGGATTCAAACCCCCTGCCTTTGGGCTTTCAGTGCAGCTTCTTACTACTAGGCCACCAGAACTTCCTGTAGCCTTCTGCAAATTTGTTGTAACTGTTTTTAGTGACTTTTTATTGGTGTAGGAAGACAGACTAAAATCACAACAGAAAATTAACCTCTGGTAGAAAGCTTTAACAACTCTCAGGATATACTAATTTCAGAATGTTACAAATAAAGTGACTGCATGAAGAAATGCTCAAAATCCCTAGCCCTAAGAGAGATGCAAATTAAAACAACTATGAGATATCATTTCACCCCAGTCAAAATAGCAAAATTTAACAGA